ATTGAAAATAAGTACGATAAGATTATTACAGACATTTCATCTCACATACCACATACAATATGCAATTTCCATAAATTAAATAACGCGATTAGCCCGCAGTCGTTATATTCTTACCCGAATTATTTCACCAACTATTTGCAAATAAAAGAAAAGATCAAATTCTTGAATAATAAAAAATCGGCTGGTAACGACAAAATACCAAACATAGTTTTAAAGAAATTACCTCCTAACATAATAATCATTCTCACTATTCTATTCAACAACTTACTAAATTATGGACATTTTCCGCAAATCTGGAAAGAAGCGAAAGTGATACCTATTCATAAAAAGGATAAAGAACCGTCAGACCCAAATAATTACCGTCCAATCAGTCTCCTTCCTAATATCGGTAAACTATTCGAGAGGCTAATAAATGATAGAATCCTAAAAGTATGTACAAAACATCAAATAATTCCTGAGAACCAGTACGGCTTCCGTAAGAAACATGCAACATCTCATGCTATAAATAGATTAGTATCTGATGCAAACTGGGCATTAAATGGAGGAAAATGTTTAGGAGCGTGTCTTGTAGATTTAGAAAAAGCGTTCGATACCGTATGGCTAAAGGGTTTGATAACTAAATTGCAAAAGAAAGGGTTCCCTCTTGAATTAATTAAAATAACACATAGCATGATAAACGATAGAAGCTTTCAAGTATGTACAGAAAAGGCGACATCCACGCAAACTTTTAAAATTAAAAATGGACTTCAACAGGGCACAATCAATTCGCCCATTCTCTTTAACATATACACTAGCGATATTCTTACACTCTTCGGACCGGATAATACAGATTGCCATTTGATAGCCTTTGCGGATGATTTGATAATTTATACTACAGAAAAATCTCCTAAAAAATTACAATCAATCCTGCAGAAAGGAATTAATAAAATATTCGATTATTATAAAGCCTGGAAACTAAAAGTAAACGTAAACAAATGTGAATCAATACTCTTCAGACCTTCTTGCAGGAAAGCATCGTCTGCCATCTTATCTCAATATAAGAATTTCTCGCTAAAAAGTGGCGAGAACGCAACCCTACTTATTGAAAATAAGGATGCTGTAAGGTACTTAGGATTACTAATGGATAATCGCCTTCTTTTTAACAAACATGTCTCGATGCAGCTCCAAAAAGCTAAGAAAACGTTTATAAGGAATTCGAGGCTATTTTACTCGAATGTGTTAAATGCGAAAGTCAAACTCACATGTTATCAATTGTTAATAAGACCGATAATAACATACGCGTGTGAGATATGGTACAATATTGGGGCCTCTTTAATGGAGGAAATCCGTGTCTTTGAAAGAAGATGCTTACGAGCTTGTCTAA